AATCCTCTTAGCCTCCCACTAATGATTATTCTGTTCTAGCTGCCACTCAAAATCTTTCCCTTTAAAGCAAAATACGTTTTTACCATCACTGAGACATCACTGGGCAAAAGGGAAGCAATAGAGAGAGAGTCATAAATCATATATCACACGTGGGCAGAGTAATATATCACTTTGATTGTCGCTTGCGGTGTGTGTGTGTGTGTGTGTGTGTGTGTGTGTGTGTGTGTGTGTGTGTGTGCAGCTGGCTGCCTTCGAGTCCTTGTCCTGTTGAATCTTCTCTGTTTCTGTGTGCACAACTTTGTGTGTGCTAGCATCATCTTCATTTGTCAAAAGCCTTGAAGAGAGGCTGCAAAGCGACTAAACCACAGACCTTCAACCCAGGTGGTGTACCAGTCTACCAGGTATGTATGAGTGTAATGTGATAATGTGACCAGCCCACATGTCCAGTTTCCAGCTCTCCTGGGAGACCAAAGCAGACTAATGGATGTCCTCCACTATACAGCCACAAGCCTCTGAAGCCCGGAGGTGCCTCAGCACAGTGTGAGCTCCTATCAATAACACACTAGGAGGTATAATGAGAGAATGTGCAGGAAAACATCTTGTCTATAACTCTAATTATAGTCAAATATTGCTAGTAGATATCTTACAGAGGTAATAATATTCAGAGATGTCACAATGTAGGAGATCCAACTTCTAATGACTATGTATAGCATGGTATTGCATTTGTTCAAAACTCAGAACATGCACTGTAGTTAATGATGGTAAAATAGATCTTTCAATGGGGGATATTGAACACCAGTAGTGTCTAGCATATTTTCCAACAGAGTGATTCATTGAGATTGTAGTCCTGCAGGCTATATTCTCACTGCACATTTTTATTTTTATTTTAATCCAAACTATTCAAAATCTGAACAATGTGTACACCAGGATTTATGATATCAATAAAAGCTCATAGATTGATAAACACAGCAGTTAGAATATTAAGAATGATGAATATGAAAACATGCCACATCTGTGCCTCTGTTCATTTACTCTTCCAGTTTTGATGTTTGCTGTTAATATAGCATTTTGTCGTCAGTTATATGTTATATTGTATATTGTTTACTTTGTCAAAGGTATCAACATTTCCACACAGGAGTAGTACTATCTGGAAATCTTATCTGATTCAAAACATGTTTATAACATTCCCAAGTAACTGTGAATGTTACCACATGACACAATATTCTTAGCCTGCTGAAACATAAAAGGTTCCTCAACAAACACTGCCTTTATAGTGTTTATTTCATCACTGAGATTTTCCTCTTTTACTAGACTTGTTATTCCCCTAAAGTAAATTTTCTTGCTGAACACTCAAAAAAACCTCCTTTATTTGCATCCAAAATACCAACAATGCTATTGCTAGTATTTCCTCAATCAACAATGTCAAAGCATGAAAAAATAGGGAATCCTTGCAAGAAAAAAAAAAAAGCAACCGAATTGTTGACAGACTAACGTTAGATCACATCTGTTTTTGCACGCTACTTTGCTGTGGAATTAAGGATGAGAACACAGACAGCCTCTGACAGTATTACAAATCACTGGTGGTCCCCTGGTATTACTACTCCTCTGTGAATAATGGTAGTTTTATTTCAGTAGTAATCACTTCTGAGTAAAATAATGAGTGTATAGATGACTTCCATACGGACAAGTTCACACTAATAGCTTGATTTCAATCCTCAGTAACAACTCTCTGGAGGGGGTCCAGAAATGTCAGAGAGGGAAAGAGAATGTCGTGCGGCAGAGTGGACATTAATTGATCAGGGCTTCTGTGTCGGTATAAACACACTCATTGATTGCTTACAATGAACTCCAGCTCCTTAATGTCTCAGGATGTCAACACCATGTACATTTGCTGCTTCAATTTTACAACAGCTAGTCGACATCACCCCATATGGTTTTCCACACAGAGTCAAATCACTCATACAGATTGTTTCTGGAGCTCAGATATAAGTCTCAGAGGATCTCCAACATCAGTGTTCAAGAGGAAGATGTCTCATGTATTGCATGCTTCATTAAAGGTCCAGTGTGTAACATTTAGGAGGATCTATTGGCAGAAATGGACAAGAATATTCATAGGTATGTTTCTATTAGTGTATCACCTAAATAGAAATTGTTATGTTTCTACAGTAGCCCAGAACGGTCAAACCAAACACTGACTCTAGATAGGACCTTTCATGTTTTTAAAAAACATTTATACCGGATCATTTTGTCCACTCATCAGAGACAGAAATATTGATATATGTCCAGTTACTATTGGGGACAAATAATCAATAATGTGGTAGTGTAACTTGTGCAATAGCTACATCTGCAAATTCTGGCCTTTACTAGTCATTATAAAAAAAAAGAAAGATAATTAAAATCATTAAAAATCTTAACATCCTGCCCCAGAGAGTGTGTGGAGAAAGGTGTGTAAAGTATCTTTTTCATAAGTCTCAAAATCATTGTTCAAGAACTCATTGCAAACTGAAGTGAAGGGACATTAAGTATATCTGACCTTCATCAGGTGCACTGGATGAAAAAGTAAGAAGAACCTTTGCAAAAAAAGTGCTACTGCAGCAAGATAAGGTTACTAAAAATGACTGATTCACACTGAAACTGTGACTTTCAAAGGCTTAGAACTTTGTCAGAAATTGTAGTGCAGTGAAATTGCAGTCTTAAGGGCAGGTTTTAGTGTAAATATAAACACAAGTTAAATTGAAACCTGTTGTAGTTACCCATTGTAGTTATGTTAAGCCTACTTGTAATGTCACAAACATAGGTCTTAAAGTCAGACCAAGCAGAAGTAGGACACCTTGACAGTTAGACCTATTAAACAGTGATATTCCTCTTCATAAAAGCCTGTGTTGGTTCCACACTCAGAGGTTTAGACCATGTTAAATTCCTGAACAATGATGCAAATATCTTTCTTAAGATTAAGATGAATGTTTAAACATGTCAGCGGTCTCCAGCTACGGCAGGCTGCCTCCGGTCTGTATTTACATAAACGACATAATTGTTGTAGATGATTTTCTCTTTCTCACAGTCAGAAGAACTCACTTAGAGCTTAACTGCCAGATAGGAAATACTAGGGTGATATCAGAGATACAAATTCCACAAAACAGGGGAAGGTGCTGAATAAAACAAGTCCAAGTCTATAAATTTATAAATTTGCTCAAGGGAAGCCAAACAGCAGCCAGTTGCAAAAGACAGTGTTTGAACACAATTGATCTCTGCTTATCCTGTAAAATCCTGTAAAAGTTGCTATATGAATAAAGAAATTAATGTATGTCAACCATACCACACTCTTTTTTCAAAAATAGATATATTTAAACTATATTATATATTTTAAAAAATGTTTATTGTATATTTTTCTGTTTTATGTATTTATGATTCTTAACTTTTAGTACTTTTGTCTTTTTATTGTGTCGAACTGTTTATTGTTGTGCACCAAGGCAAATTCCTTGTATGTGAAAACCTTTTTAGCATAAACCTGATTCTGATTCATGATTATGTGTTTTAGCCACTTACAAAAATGGTTGATACTCTGTTTTGAAACAGCAACTCACCTTTCTGACCACAGAACTCAGAAATAAGGGACACTGACTGGCATCACAAACCACTTTCCTCTTGCACAAAAGGCAAATGCTAAAGCAGATTTATTACCCCACTATAAGTATATACTCTTTTCACCTTGCATGTCTCTTAAATTTCTACTCTAATGAACTGGCTAATTTGTCTCTAATTTGTAAATGTGAATATATACTTTATGTCATTTACAGGCCACTGTAGTGCAAAGAGATGGGGGCATGAGGAAGAGAGGACAGAGAGAGAGAGCTCTGCTGTTGAATTTCCTAGTGGGGTCACTGGGTAACATAATATCTCTATAATGCCTATGTGCATTTTCCCTATAACCTCATGTATTATTCATACATGTCACGTGCATATGTGGTTAGACACATGCATGATTATATAAAGAATCTATGAAAAATAAGCTGCCATACATTCATGATTATTGAAAACAGATAAGAAGCTCCTATCCAGATGTAGACACAGAGGATGGAGGAAAATATGAAGATTAAATTTGCAATAGGCCACTACAATATACATGTTAACCTCATACTCTTATCGCTGTGAAACATGTGCTCTATGTTTAGAAACAGTAATAGGTCAGTAGAGTAATCGGTCAAGACCGTGCATTCTAAAGTATAAGGACTGAGAAGGGTATTCACAGAGATAAAGTCATCTCTAACAAACCTGAAAAAAATCTTTTACAAGGAGCTGCTGCTACTTGCCATTTGACCCTACTGAACATTAATCAGGAAATGTCTGCAGCAATTACTGTACGCAGCACTCATGAAGGATAACAATCTCCTTCACTATTGCAACATCCATATGCAGGAATTATGAAAACCTGAAGAGGAAATCATGGTTTGAGGAGATAAACAGCAAAACTAAAATGTGTTAAGAAGATTACGACCACTATTGGGGTTTAAAAAGTTCCGATTTTCAGATCAGAAGAATAAAGGGGTGATATTTGGAGAAAAAAGGTATATTTTTAAAAGCAAAAGTCACAAAATGATATATCGGCTGGGGTGTTTTTTTTGTTTATTATAATAAAATATATTTATACTTTATTCTCAAAATATTTTTCCTAAAATAACCACTTCATTCTCATATTCTTATCCATTATGACTGTCTTCCCCAAATATTTTCAGAATGAAAAGAATTTAAGTACTACAACACTGTACCTTTTTTAAACCCTATAGTGTGACATATGTTTTTGCCAGCAAAACTAAAGACTAAAAATAACACATCATTTCACTACATAAATTCTGTGGAAATGTATCCGGAGTCTAAAAACAGGAAGTGCTGTCGACTGTCACACAACAACATCTAAGGTATAGGGATGCTTTTTAAGGAGTACAGATTCACGACTGATAACGTGGAACCAGACCCGCACTAAAATGACTTGGAGAACTTACTTGAGTACATGTGTGGAGCCGTTGATCTGCGTGGCTGTGCAGGGAGCGCCGGACCCCAGGATGGACGGCCTGCGGTACCTCTTCCTCCCGCAGCACAGGATGATGAGGAAGGCACGGCGGAAGGACTTGTTGAGGAAGGCATAGAGGATAGGGTTCAGCATGGAGTTGATGTAGCCCAGCCACAGGCAGGCCACCCACAGCTTGTCGGGCACTGTGTAGTCTATAAAGGGGTCCACCACATTGGTAACGAAGAACGGCGCCCAGCAGAGGCAGAAACACCCCATAATGATGCACAGAGTCTTTGCTGCCTTAGTTTCTGTTCGCATACGATGGTTGCGTTGATGGTCAGCAGAGTCCGATGCACCGGCTCCCCCTGCCCGCTGCAGCATGCTGATCTGCAGGGCGTGTGCACGGGCCGTGACGTAGATCCTCTGGTAGGCCAGCACCATGAGGACTAGAGGGATGTAGAAGGCCACCACTGAGCAGGTGAGGGCGTATGGCTTGTTGACCATGAAGACACAGGACGTGGAGTTGCTGCCCTCGCTGTGGCGCCTCTCCTCAATCTGGCAAAACAAGTCAAATCAGAGGCAGTTAGACCTCAAGTTCCTCTAGTGCAGGATCATATGTAAAAACAGCAGCAATGAAGCTTCTATGTCAGTAGCCTGTTGTAGGTTTTTGAGGTTATGTTCAACCCAACCATAATAAAACACACATTTATTAGAAAAAGTATGACTATAAGCTCTACAACCACTTATTGGCCCTGTGAGGCCAGAAAACAAAGCTATTGAATGGATGTGTGTGTGAAGGACTGTGCAGTGCTCATATCCTTACCAATCAACGCTACAGTAAAGGTTGGTCTTAAGGCAGTGCCAGAGGAAAGGCCTCGTTGTTACCAAAAGGATTTAGCCTCTGTACGGTGGCCATTTTAGGACATCTCATACTTGGTCAGGCTAAACTCTGCTTTATCCGGCTTAGTGAGTCAGTCAGTTGAGGCTAACTTCATCGGCCTGAGTTGTTCTTTGAGCTGAATGCTTTTAACTTTAGATTACAGTTACATTTAGTAAAAATGGGGATAATTTAGAAAGATTACAATTAATTCATTATTATTATTTTTTAAATATGCTGAGCAGAGGACACATTTTTGAAGCTCACAAATCTCTCAATCTTCATTTTTTTCTTTTCCATTTTCTCTTCATTGTTCTGTTGTTTTATAGAATACACTTGATTATTAACATTTCTCTTCTCTCGTTTTCATATATTTACATATTTGGTGTTAATAGTAACAGATTTTTTTTTTTCCCGGTGCCGCCCAGAAGGTGTCTGTGTCTGAAATGTGATTTGAACTTATTCTAAAGAGTGAAAACCAACTGCCACCAAAAGTAATCTGAGTACTGTAATAATATATTCTGCCTCGTGTAGCATCATTATCCTGTTCTTGGCTGAAAAAAGTGGATGAATAAAATGTGTTATTTCACGCTTTGATAAAATTAGAATTAAAGTCCAACTGCCCTGAAATAGATTAGTAATACAGTGATGCACAAATGACTCAATTCAATCACATTCACATACACACACACTGGCCCGCATATCAATTTAAGTAAAAGGTGGAATTTTAAGAATACGCAATTTGTAGAAATAAATCCCCAAGTAAGCACATACGTTGAGATGATGGCTAGATCTGCCCTAAGAAGCCATGAAAAGCCTCCAGACTTCATAACAACTCACTTAAAATTCCACACTCTCCTCATCTCAGAATCCGTAGTAAAAGGAGAACACGGCTCCTGAGGGAGCGGGAGGCTCTGCACGTCACCATTAATCAAGTCCTATCCCATTTTTTTCCCTCTGCTATCATGTCATCTCTGTGGGAAACCACGGCTCAGGGCGAAGAGTTGAATAATACAGAGATCAATCCATATCCCTGCAAGGCCAGGCTCCCTCGTGTGTAAAACTAAAGATGTTTTTATGAATGGGCTGACATGTTGAAGTGTTCAGCCTGACATTGAGGTTACCTGCCCTGCTGCATGAATGCACAGAATGATGAGAGTAAAGTGATAACATGTAAAACTAGGGCAAAATAGATACATACATTTTTTTTATTAGTGCTTCCTGTGCACTTACAGAGCTCAGAGTGATTACAGGTCTTTACTGTGAGATATGGATTTATACTAAATAAGTCTTGCCAAAGGGCACCCTGGAGGCTGTTCTTGTCACTGATTCTCCCTTAATCTTTTGAGCTGTGGGAAATATTGCCTTCACTGAACAAGTTTTGCAAATCATCTCTGGAACATTATATGAATGTCGTTCCAAACCTCTTTGAAGCTCCACAGTCAGTACATGCTACAGGTGGTAAATTCTAACATCGTTGGAGCTTATTAAAGTCAACTGATTGCTAATTAATGAGCCTGCCAGCATGATGTAATCATTTTGTAAAAGAAGGCCCAGGTCAAACCATATTCTGTGCGTTCATCTGCTGAATACAAATAAACTCACTACTGGGGTTGATCTTAAGATACTGAAATAGCATATCAAAATATTAAATCTTACGACAAGCTTAAAAATATGCTTCTGCTAAAATGAGAAATGGGCTGTCATATTGGCAGCTTTGCAAACACTGTGGCTGGATAATATCAGAACTGTAGCCATGGCTACAGTATAAAAAACATTCAGTTAACGCAGTTGATCTTTCAACAGATATCTAATTTTATATTGTGGTTTCTAAATTCAGTTAAGACTAGGGCTGCACAATTCATTGAAATATTATATAAATCACAATATGGCCAAGTGCAATATCCAAATTGCAGATCTAACACAACAAGAGATTTTAGAGGGAGAGACACCACTTTATATGCAGTTTGGCTAAATCTCCTGTGGTGGAAGAAGTACGCAGATGTTTTGCTTCTAAAATACAAAAGTATATACTGAATGAACTCATTATGCAGAATTATCCATTCAGAATAATGTTTATCATATTATTGGATTATAAGTATTGATGCATGATTAATGTGTTCATCACTTTAATGTTGCAGCTGGTAAAGGTGCTCATTTTAAGATTATTTTAAACTGATGGATGTGAATGTCCCCCCTGAAGTCTCTTAACTGATAATAACAGTTTGTCGTTTATATTGCATATCATTAATCTGAATCTGCAAAGTAGTGAATAAAGTTATCAGGTAAATGTAGTGGAGTAAAAAGTACAGTATTTACATTTCTGTAAACGCTGTACTTTTGTAATGAAGTAGTAGAAAGAAAATGGAAATACTAAAGTTAGTACCTCAAAATGGTACTTAAGTACAGTACTTGAGTACTTAGTTACAAAATCTGGTACAAATCATCACAGTGCCCATTTCTAAATACAAAATGTAAACACCAACAGACTACTTGACTTGAATGATCTGACCAATCAGAGCTGCGTATTCCACAAGGCAATGAAAACAGTAGGAAGTAGTAAATATAGACAGTGACTTGTGCGTCTCTGCTGACTCCTGAATTCTGGTTGTTTTGTTGAGTTTTGGAGCTGTGCTTTGTGCCAGAACTGACTGGCTACTCAGAATATTCATCAGCTCTAATTAGACCCAAAGAGAGACGCTGCTGCATGGTGCTAACTTTAGACTGCTGTGTGTGTGTGTGGTTGAAAGAGAGGTAGGCATAGATGTGTGTGTGTGTGTGTGTGTGTGTGTGTGTGTGTGTGTGTGTGTGTGTGTGTGTGTGTGTGTGAGTGTGTCACTGCCAACGCTGCCAAAAATGAGGCAGCCAATCCTACAACTCGGAAGTAACTTTCACTGGCGTTCACATAAAGGCAAACAGGGGAGAGTGAGGTTAATAATGGCTGGGGAGTCTCTCTCTCTTTCCTCTGTCTTTGTCTGCACATCTGTCTTCCTGTCTCTCTCCTCCTCTTTCTGATATACATTGCTCTGTTGTTTTCACGCAGACTTTTCTAACTTTTCATTCATAAATTTGTACAAAAATGTACATTCAGACTTTGAAATGGTCGGTTATGTCACATTTGTTCCCACCTACTGCATACTGTATATATTAATGGGTTTTGGGAATTTAAAGGACCAGTGTGTAGGATTTAGTGCCATCTAACAGTGTTGTTGCAACTGAAATTAACAGCAACGTTTAGAGGCAAATATGACTCCCTTCATTTTAAGAGAATTAAAGTTATTAAATGGACAAAATGATTCAGAAACGTACTCAGAGGACTCATCATGTTGCGCCTGATAGGTAATTAAAATTTTAGATTAAGCTCTACAGTCTACTGTCTGTTGATGGAGAGAGGCCAACACTGGTGTAATTTGTTCCCTGTGCTTTGTCTTTGTTATTGGACGGACTGCAGCATGTTTGAACCATCTGCAACAGCTCTTGTCTCAGCCAAGATAATGAATTATAGTAATTTAGTCTTGGATTCCTCAGCACTTTCAAAAGATTAAAATATGTTTGACTTTAGCAATATTTCCTGACGAAAAAAAATACATGATTGCTCAAATTTCTCAACGGGAATAGAAAACCCCAGACAAAAAACAGAGTGTATAGCTTGATATTAGAGTTTAAAGGTTGACTAATGCAAGGTCTCTAGAGCCCCCTTAGATCCAATGATAAGGACCTTTGGACCTCTTCCAGCTCATTCTACCTGTTATTCTGTATGATCTAATATAAGCTTTATGTATTCAACATGATCTTGGGGAGGAGATTTCTAATGGTTCAGACACACAGAATCCAGCAAGGACGCATCATCACGCAGCATGGATGCGGACTACTGAATACTCTGAACAAACTGCTAGTTGGGTGGTGCTTGGTTTTGGATCTGGTGCTTTCAACATGCAGCCAGCTCAGAAATGTACACATATTGCAGATAAACAGAACACTAAAATATGTATCTAAGAAACATTTGAGGTGAAAAATAGGTAATGCAATAACAGAATATTGACATGTTTTTGATCAGCATTGCCTAGTTTGACAGTTTCATCTGAGTTTTGTGAGCCTGCTGGCATCACACGTCTCCTGCACTCCATAAAAAAAAAAAAGGATCCTTTGACTCGCCATCAACTTACATGTGTCTTTGCCATAATTCAGTCGTCCCTAACTTTTATGGTTTGTGACCCCTTGAAACAAATCAGTATGTCTTACCACTTAAAGGCTTTTACTTCAACTAAAGATTGATTTTTCCTACTTTGATTTGAAGGATTTTTAGAGGACTGAGTTGAAAACTTAATTTTGAGAAAAAGTCCAGCAAAAAATTAAATGACTACTTTTTTTTGCACCTTTCTCACTGGACTCTGTATCCACTGAGGAAGCCCATGAGATGTGGCTGAAATACTAAGCAGGGGACCTTGAGTGAAACATTTATCCTGACCCCAGGTTGAAGAAACATCTAATACCTTCAAATTGATTCCATTTGCACTCTCTGTGATTTCTGAGTTTCAACACCAGGATTCCGCCTCATCTCTTCTTCTGTATTCTAGTTTGCATCATTTAAACAAACCCCACTGCACAAACAAGACACTTATAATACTGACTCAACCCCTAAATACTTTACATACTGACTGAAATAAAGGAACAGCTTGACTCCATGTCTGGGCTGTCAGTGGCCTTATGTGTCTGACATGTTTATGTTGTTTCCATAGCGACACATGAAGCATTTCCTCCTTCTTGTAAACAGGAATCCCAAGGACTACAATTTGTTTCTTAGTCATTTTTAAAATTGATGTATTGTTTATGTAAAACATGTTACAATTTTACATTTTTGGGCTATTTTTTCTCTACCCTACAAGGCAACCACATTTTCGTTTAACAGCAGTGCATAACCATCATAAACTTGTAAATCCACTGGATATATTTTCATAGCACAGGGTCCTCAGTGAATTTCCCCTGGTGTATACACACACACACACACACACACACACAAACACAATCACACACACTACAGGGCTCACCAGGTGGTCGATGCCGATGCTGTTCCACCCCTGCATGATGGGCAGGAAAGAGATGAAGGTGGGAATAACCCAGCAGCCGCCAATCATCAGAGCCACGCGCATGGGGGTCATTTTGTTCCGGTAGACCAGAGGCTGGCAGCAGATAGCGTAGTACCTGCAGACAAACAATAGAAATGAGCTGAGCGATCAACTCATCCATACACCAAGGGGGTGGCAACAGATAATAGCTATATGTAGACCACTGACAGTAAATAGTTAGAAGTGAGGCCAACCGTACATTATTTAAACCTGAATTCTTTCACATGGCCAGCAGGGGGCACCTCCTTTAGTAGCAAAAAGACCTGTGCTTGCATTCAGCTCCAAAACGTCTTACTTGATTTTTTTTTCAGTAAACAGTTTCCTAATGGGTTTATGGTCTCAGTCCTTAGTGTCAGTCTTCTTCCATACAGCATGATGTTCATTTAGTAAATGATGGTCCCATTTAGAGTAAAGCAGACAATAAAGCAGTGTATGCTTGAGGGTGTGCTACCTTGTGATTGACAGGTCCTACTCAGTGAGTAACTGTCAAACTAGGCTGACTGATCAGATATGAATCAAAATGCTGTTGCTGTGTCGCCTGTTTCTCTTAAATTTTTTTAGAAACATATTTTTCAGTGTGTGAACAGGCGAGCTGCCATTGTTTCCTGCTACGGACAAGGCAAACCAAGCGCAGTCAGTGAGCACAGCTGGACTCACAGTACGACACCGCTGCTGGTAAAAACAACATAGGGGTTTTTAATCAATATTGATAGCTGAGGAGTGACAGGAAAGGGATGGAGAGAGAGGGGATGACACGCAGCAATGACCCAAAGGGCCGAATCGAAACCAGGCCGCTGCAGCAAGGATTGAAGCCTTGGTACGTAGGACGCCAGCTCTACTATGTGACCTACCAGGGCGCCTCAGCGATGGCCTTAATGCCGAACTCGAGTACTTCACAAACCAATAGAGGACGTCAAGGGAGGTTCACACTTGGTGTGGAAAAAAATTGGTATAAAAGTTATTGAATTAAAAAAGTTCGACATAAAAGAAAAGGTAAGCCCCTCTCAAAAAGACGTTTTTGTTCACCTCTGGGTTGCCCATTCCCTTTAATTCTCTGTTGTTTTGTTGATTTCCTTTTGACATTTTTCTTACAAAATTGCAGTAAGTGAACAATATTAGAGATTTTAATACCTACATCACTAACAAGCCAACAATAAGGGCCACAAAAGAGGAGTAATTCCCCAATGGGACACACTTGTTTATTTCTGGCGTTTTCTACTATCACTTTTTGTCTCTCTTCCATTTTAAATTAGCCTCTTTGGCGAGACAAGAGAGTGTTTGCTGCCAGTGCATTTGCAAAAATATGCTAACCGTCAATAATTAAGCACTAGAATATTTTCAAAAATCTCTCACATTCTCTTCTTCTCTTTCTCTTCTCTCGCTTTCTCTCAATCCCTCTCTCCTGTGCCATCATCTCTCACTGTCGTAATCATCTCAGCTTTTCTCCTTCTTTCTTCAGTCTTCTCCTTTAACCTCCTCTTTCACTATCTTTCATTCCTTTTTTTTCTTAAATAAGCATTTCAAGGATGACAAGAGGTAAATAACGGTCATGGGAATATCACAGTCCCTCTTTGGCAACATACTAATTTCCTCTTCACAGGACTGTTAGTCAGTAAATTGTTAGTTGGCCTTGGCTGCTGCATTGCTGTCAGTTTGTCGACTGCAGCGTCCCATCACCTCCATGACAGTTATTAGACCTACAAGAGGCTGATGGAGAAGCTGCCTATAGATACACTCTGTAGCGTCTGTGGTGTACAAACTGCACACTTTTTAGTGTGACTGTTGTGAGGGTTTGATACTCAAAACACAGATCTTCCACTCACTCTGACCCAGATCTGTCTCTTCTTTTGTCCATTTCTTCCATTTTCTTAACACACTCTCTATGTTTTTGGCCATGCTTGCTGTCTTTCTCTCTTTGATTCCAAAAAATTAAGCAGCTTGGACGCTTGTCTTTTCACATACATGAAACAAACAAAAAAGATTTTGCTCGTTTCCAGTCAGAAGAAACTAAACAAGCACCTTTTAATTAATATTTCTCTTTGTATCTACGTCTGTCTCACATAATTTAAGCCTTACTCATTATACCAAACACACAATACACCAGCATGCGTGAATGTGTGTATTTCTGTGTGTGTGTGTGTGCGACCATGATATCAAACACTACAGCAGGAAATCCCAGCATGCTGTCGGGCAGTGATATCGCTAAAGCGACACTGGTGCTGAACAGCATGAATGGAATCGCACGGATGACAGAGAAATACTGTGAATGAGCGCAGGGAGAGGGAGAAGGGCAAGCAGAGAGAAAAGGATTGATAAGGAGTAGAGGGAAAGGAAATATAATAGAGAAAAGGAGGTGAGGGGGAAAGAGGAAGATGAAACGGAAGAAAAAGGGAGAAGAAAGAAGTAGTTCCAGAAAGGATGGCAGGAAACAGAAAAAGGAAGAGTAATAAGAGAGTGAGAGAGAGAGAGAGAGAGAGAGGGAGAGAGGAGAGAGAGAGAGAGAGAAAGAGAGAGAGATTAATCCCCTTATTGAAAAGCTAAAATGACAGATGCTGAATTGCTTACTGTAACAAATCCTCTACATCTGCAATTTTACCTGGCCTGGTCAATGACTGTGTGTGTGTGTGTGTGTGTGTGTGTGTGTGTGTGTCTGTGTGTGTGTGTGTGTGTGTGTGTCTGTGTGTGTGTGTGTGTGTGTGTGTGTGTGTAGACACTGAGCATTCAGATCCATTCAAGTATGACAGGAAACAGATGAAGTCGACCAACCAAGCCACTCAGACCTCCATTAGCCTCTAACTGTGTCTACCTTTGTTTCTGTGTGTGTGTATGTACTAGTGTGCTTCTGTGTGTGTTTGCTCATGTGCAGCGTGTGTGCACCCATGTTGTTCTGCAGTGTGTTTTTGATTTGCTGTTTTTTCTGATTGTGGCAAATATGTGTATGTCACAGCGTTTATTACTTCTTTATTGCAATTTTAAAAGAAAATTAGACTACTATAACTTTTTTATTTATTTTATGAAAATGTTTCTAGCATTTCAATTGGAATTGTTTTTAACGTTTTAAAGCATTATGTAAAACTCTCTGAATTGCCTTTGTGTATAAAACTTGCCTTTGCCTATTAAACCATTATATATTGGTTTTGCACATCTTTGTGTCACTGTTTTAATGTTAAAGAACATTAACTGTGTAGCTCAGTCTCAGCACATTCATCAACCCAACCCAGTCATACCCAAATTCTGTCAGTGGTCAGTGGCCCTCCGCTTCAAAATATCTAACACTGTAGGTATTCCTCCGTCATTTTTGGAAGTGCTTGAGTCAAGTGGCACATCTAGCAGTTAAATAGCCAGATATTTTTCTCCGGAGTTGGTGGAGACCAAATCAGAGCCAAAAGGAGAGTGAATATTGCATGTAATCATCAGGTGGACACAAACACAGTTCCAAATAATGCTAATGTTACTCTGTGTATTGGATGAGTAAATAGGTTTGCTTTCATGTCAGTAATAACAGCTTTAATATGTCAGAGCTGTTTGTTTCATTGTGTTTCTTAGTTCTGTTTCCCAAAAGTCAATTAATGTGGCTTTTAAAAATAGGCTGCATGCTCTCCAGACACTTGATAGGGTTGTTGATATGTTATGACATTTTACAACTGGCCACCATCAGTCCAACAATTGATTGTCGATATATTTGCCTGTGTGTGTGTGTGCTGTGCCAGCCGTAATCACTGCCCCAGTAGTTATAGCTGGGAGATGAGCGTTGAGTTCGCTACGTGCAACAAGCTCTAACACCTTTAATAAAGAAAATACATTCATAAAATGTCAAGAAGAAAAGGAAACTGCATTCTGCATTGAACAGAAAATACAACAATAATCCTTCTGAATTCAGTTTCTCTCTTATATCGAACTAAGACCTAGTTCAACAATCTTATAACACACGTCAATAAAACCGAACAGAAACAAAATAAAACTCACCAAACTGACTTTATTACTATTTCCACTGTTGCAACAATCACCAACTCTCCTGTCTAACCATCTAACAGAGTTAGATATGAAAATATTCTGGTTCCACACGCTGTCGCTGCCTCTCTGATGCCTGACCTCCCTCGCTCCTCTACCCGCTTCATGCTTTTTTTCCCTGGCATGTCACTGTCCTGTCTCAGGCTGTCCCTCCCTACTGTGTCCTCATCTTCCCTCGAAGAAGAGTCTTGTTTGGAGCCTCTGCAAATCACCTTGTAAGTGTATTCTCTGTCGTCAAACTAGTCGAAATAAACCTTTAATTCACAGCAGTTAGATGATACACCAACTCTACAGCTGCTTTCCCTCTCACTTGTTTTTTGGCAACTTGCCAATAACAAAAATATTTGTCCAATCGCTCAACCCTAATACTTGGTTAATCATAAGAGTGATGCTTAGATCCATTATAGATAATAATATAATAACTGTTGTTGCAGCTGTCCTATGATTGTCTGACTCACATTCATATTCCCCAAAGCAGCTGAATTTCCACATTTTTATAACCTTTGCTTATCCTCAAAAGGTTGTCTGAACGCTGTGCTCTGCTGCAGCAGTATTAAAGCTAATCCAGTTCATCCCATCGTCAGTCACTGTTGATATTTTGCAGCCTCCTCTGCTATGGTCCTACCTCATTACCTACTTACGGTGCGTGGCATTTCACAGCCATTAGTAATTTGGAGTGGCTGTGTATACTGTGTGTGGTCTGCATGTGCGGTTGGCATTAAAAAAGGTCAAGAGGCCCTTTCTGTTTGAACTGCCAAAATAGTTGCGCTGAAAGGTTGCAAATGGATTCTTTAAGTGTGGATGTGGAGGTCTGAATGACACAACCCCCCCGGTTCTCCAACACAAGTATGAATTCTTACATTGTCTGGATACCAATGTCCATACACACAAACACACACATGCACAAAAGCACAGTATGCATGCACACCCCCACATGCTTAAATACGTACAAAGAACCAATAGTATGCATAGATGCACGAAGGCGCACACACATCCTCACACACATTAACCTGGGGAAGATTAGAAGCAGACGTAGCACGGTTGAGTGGCAGCGTGTCTTGACCG